AGCCGAGCCGAGCAGGGAGTCTGGCGAGGGGGCAGGACTTGCCGCCGTCCCTCAGTCCCTCGCTCTGCTGCCTCCTCCCACCCCCAAAGCTTGGAGGTTCCCCGGCAAGGGGGAGGGAAAAAACTTTCACTTTCCTGCGTCCCTCCCGGCGTGACGCTGCGCGCTGACGTCACGGGGCGGGGCTTTAATGGTGGTGTGCCGTGAGATTTTTTTTCAGTAAACAGGTGTGCCGTTGCCCAAAAAAGTTTGGGAAACACTGCGTCTAGATTATACTGCAAGGATATAGAACATTTAGCCAAATTGTTGTTTGAGGAAAAACTATCACGGACAGTATGCTCTGTATATTTGTGCGTGTGTGTTTCTGTGCAGGCACAAGTATTTTAAAAATGCACAACATTATTATCAGGGCTTTCACGCAGGAAGCAGCATCACAACAATGAATAAAGACGAGTCCTATGAACGTGTGGAATGTGGTTTGCTTAGCAGCAGTCTTTAACCACAGCTGCCCTTTTCCTTCCAACATTTTGCATTTGCAAGGGCTGTGTGCCAGAGGGTGCTCAGTAAAAACTGGGCCTTGTCACTTTCCTTTAGAAACAATCCTAGCAGTGTGGCAGTAAAACTGCTAGCACATTTGCAAAGCTGAGCAGCGTCCGGTATGGTTTCAAATTGGGCAGGGGACCATGTGTTGAGATTCCTGCATTGCATGCGGGTTGAACTAGATGGCCTTTGGGCCTCTTGTTTACAACTTTACAATTACTGTATTTTTCCATGTATAAGTCGATGTTTTTTGTTTTAAATAATCTGCCAAAAATTGGGAGTTGTCTTATACACGGATGGGGAATGCACAGGGGTTACAAAACACTACTTACCTTCCCACGGCTGCCATGAAGAAGCTGCCGGAACTGCCAATCATTTCATCATAATCATAAAATGTTGATTTCTTAATTTGGGGTTCAAAAAAATAAGGGTCGTTTTATACATGGGGACACACAGAAAAACATGGTATAGGATCCTGATTCTGTGTGGTCGTTTCCTGTAACTAATTCTTGCACAACTTAGCAGCAGCCTCCTCGCATCCTGGTAGCACCTTGTTGGTTATTCAACTTGTGACTGGGCCGATAGGGACAAGACAAGGGTAAGCTGTGAATGCCATACATAAAAGAGCACACACAGCTTCCCCTAAAGTATCATGGGGAGTGTAGTTTGTTAAGGGTATTGAGAACTGTAGCTCTGTTAGGGGTAAACTAGTTCCCAGGATCAATTGATGTGGTGTTTCTTTAAATGTATCTTGTGTGCTGAGGCAGAAACTTGTGTCAGGACAGTAAGGATTTAAGGGCGAGTGCCTGGTAGCTTAGACTGCCTTAGAATTAACTAGGTAAAGGTAAAGGTACCCCTGCCCGTACGGGCCAGACAGACTCTAGGGTTGTGCGCCCATCTCACTTAAGAGGCCGGGGGCCAGCGCTGTCCGGAGACACTTCCGGGTCACGTGGCGAGCGTGACAAGCTGCATCTGGCAAGCCAGCGCAGCACACGGAACGCCGTTTACCTTCCCGCTAGTAAGCGGTCCCTATTTATCTACTTGGGGACGCGGGTGGCGCTGTGGGTAAAACCTCAGCGCCTAGGGCTTGCCGATCGAAAAGTCGGCGGTTCGAATCCCCGCGGCGGGGTGCGCTCCCGTTGCTCGGTCCCAGCGCCTGCCAACCTAGCAGTTCGAAAGCACGTCAAAGTGCAAGTAGATAAATAGGGACCGCTTACTAGCGGGAAGGTAAACGGCGTTTCTGCGATGTCACGCTGGCCACGTGACCCGGAAGTGTCTCCGGACAGCGCTGGCCCCCGGCCTCTTGAGTGAGATGGGCGCACAACCCTAGAGTCTGTCAAGACTGGCCCGTACGGGCAGGGGTACCTTTACCTTTACCTATTTATCTACTTGCACCCAGGGGTGCTTTCGAACTGCTAGGTTGGCAGGCGCTGGGACCGAGCGACAGGAGCGCACCCCGCCGCGGGGATTCGAACCGCCGACCTTTCGATCGGCAAGTCCTAGGCGCTGAGGCTTTTACCCACAGCGCCACCCGCGTCTCTAACTAGAATTAACTACCCCCCTTCCAATTCAGGAAATACTTTGGATTATTATTACATTTATATCCTGCCCAGGGCAGCAAGTGCCCAACCCTTCCAGACCCTTTAGGCCTCGTTCCCTGACTTACCATGGCAGGTGGGAGAGAAATCTCTCTTCACTCCCATCTTGGCACCTGCTCTGCTGCCAGGCCTTTTCCAGCCGCCCAAATGACATTTCCCCAAGGCCAAAGGAGGGTTGGGGGAATCCGTGGCATCCTGCCAATGCACACCTCTGCGGAGAGGCCAAAATGGTGGTTCATGTGCTGTCAGTTTGCTCTTTGTACACAGTTTAGTGTAAAGAATTAATCCGCCCATTATCTCAATCTGAACATTTGCACACTTATTATTTGACTTTTCTCCTTGTAGTTCAGAATGGAGTTCCAGAAAGTTCCAGCTGAAAGAAAAAAAAGGCCCTGGAGCTTGGCAATTCTACCTGCTTAGTGTTTCTATTCCGTATACAAACCACAATGGCTTGTGCTTTGATTTAGTTTGGTGATTAATATTCCCTGCTTATACACGTTTTTACCTCCTGCTCCAATTGTGAAGGCCAGTGGCCGCTGCAAATAAATCTTTCTCTCTCTGTGAAGTAGCAGCACTGTTCATTGGGTTGGATGGGCAAGAAAAGCACAACTCTGATGGATTAAAACCTGAGGCAGATAGCAATAGCTAGGTCCTGATGCTCACCTCATATTTGAGGCAAACATCAGAAATACTAGGCTTGCCAACAACACTATCTGCTTCAGTCTGTAGGGAGAGTGCTCACATGAGGGAATACTGGCTTCAACACACAGAAAACTAGAAGGTCGTGTCCCCCGTTACCCGTTTCCTTCTTTTCTGTCTTGCAAATATCAAGTTTCTGCTGGAATTGGTACAGCCAGGCAGCAGCTTTCCTAGTTCAGGAAGAAGCAGGCCTCCATTTTGACCAGGAACACGCAGGTTGCAATCCTAAGCCCACCTACCTGGGAGCCAACCGCACTGCAGGCAAGGGGTTTACTTCTGAGGAAACGCTGTCCTGAAGTAAAAAAGGGGAGGCAAGGGCCCTGAATTGGCCCTTTAGGCCATTAGGACCAGAGTGCCCAACTGCCCATCTGCACCACTAACGAGAGTCATTATTAAAAGGAGAAAATTTGCAAAGGCAAATCAGGTGAGGATGCTGATATATTAAGAACCCCACTGGGGGAGGGAGGGGAGAAATGCAATGAAAGAAGACGGGGTGCAAGCAATTAGATGACAAGCCATTTTATTTTGCAAAACAATCACTATACAGCAACAAATACAATTGCAAATTGGATTGAAAAACATGAACTACCTACCACCAGCCATTCAAGAAATGCCTCTTTTATGATAACAGGCTCTAGAATTGCCAGGAAAAGAAATGGCTACACAGGCTTTGTAATGGCCTACTGTTGTTTCCTCCTTCTTCTTTTTGAAAAAAGGGAAAGGGGGAGAGGGAATCCCAGCACACAGAAGGCAATTTTATGTTTCTCTTTGCTAAAGTTGAAATGACTGTTAGGCCTGGCCTTACCAAATCTGCAAACATTTGTAATGGAATTTGCTAGGAGCAGCTGTCCGTGAGAGAGAAAGCTCTAGAGCAGTTTCTGGATAGGCCTGCACAACCAAGCTGATCACACCCGGTCAACTGTGGGTGGGTGTCCTTTTGGGGGCTCAGCAACTACTACCCTGTTTTTACGCTTCTAAGGAGGCAGCGAAACCAGAGAGTCTCCCAAGCCGCTGGTGGGCTTAGGTCAGCCTAGCAGCTTGAGACTGCAGCCCTGGCTTAGGTTGAAGCTTTGGCTTCCAGCTTCCTCTTTTATGTTGATTTGCATTATATCTTCTGGAAGGGAGTCTGGAATTCAGGACTACAGAAAAGCCCCTTGCATGCTTATTGTGACTTGGTGGTCCACATTTTTGGATCCTTCGGGACGTACACTAGGCAGACATAAATATTTGCAAACAGCCATTATGAAGAGAAAGGTTGCAGCTGTATAGGAGAGCATACGGTTAGATGTCTAATGCCATATATGTTCTATAGATAATATCCCAGTAGGCAAAAGGACTACCCTTATAATTAGCAGCTTGGACTACTGTTGCTGGACAAAAAAATGTCTGTCTGTCTGTCTTTTTTTTGGTCTCATCATGCCTAGGATTACACAGAAGCAAATGCTATGTAAGCAGAGAGAAACAGAGGGAAGAAGAAGAAGAGTTTGGATTTGATACCCCGCTTTATCACTACCCTAAGGAGTCTCAAAGCGGCTAACATTCTCCTTTCCCTTCCTCCCTCACAACAAACACTCTGTGAGGTGAGTGAGGCTGAGAGACTTCAGAGAAGTGTGACTAGCCCAAGGTCACCCAGCAGCTGTATTTGGAGGAGCGGAGACGCGAACCCAGTTCACCAGATTACGAGTCCACCGCTCTTAACCACTACACCACACAGGCTCCCAAGGGACAGATGTTTTCTTGATTGAACCATCTATGGCAGCCCTACATGTTTTTATTCATCTTCTCCACAAATTGCTAAGTGCACATTACTTCATTATACTTGAACTTACAAGAGCTTGTTAGTCAGTGTTACAGTGCCAGCTCCATAAAACCGACAAAGATGTGTTTTCCGATAATTGCAATAGGGCACAATCCAGCAAAATGTTATCTTGCTGACTTGAAGAACAGCAGTGCCCTTGTGTGGCTGTTGCACAAGATAACTTCCCCCTGAATTGTTGTGCTGTTAGCTTTTAAATGAAGCTTAGGCATGGGAAGTTAAGATTTGGCTGCCCCCCCCTCCCGCTACCACCCCAGCGAAAATCTAGAGTCCTGTAACATAGTGTGTGCATTTCTTTTAATAATAACATGATCTCCTGCTGGCTCTTCAACTTGTACAACTTCAGCAAAATTCTGCAACTTTCTATGGAAGGATGATTATCGATTACAAGGACTTCTCTTTAAGATGAGAAAGATAAATTTGCAGCATGAAATTAATGACTCGGCAGCGTTGGACATATATACTCAATAAATAACTTCACCATCTAGAATGTGTTTATATCCCAAAAAAGCAGAATACAAAATAGTCACAGATTAAACACTGTTCTGACTGGCTGGCAATCAGCATCAGTCCACGTGAGGTTCAGTAGTACCTTGGGCACTCTCTCTAAGACTGGAAAAAGATGTAAAAACACTAAGAGGCTAATCTGCAAGAACCAATGGCATAGACTCAGAGTGACAACATTTCATTAAAAATACTGTTCTTTTGCCTTTATTATTTTTTTCCTGAAGCAGTGGCGGTATGGACCCCTAGTCTGATCCAGCAGAGCTCTTCTTTTGTTCTTAGTGTTTGTATTTTGTACGATTATTCTAAGCAACATCACAGCCATAAGAGTCCTCCTGATGCACTGGTGTCTAAGCTAGGTTTTTTTTATTAATTATATGACTGCATCATAAACTGAATGAGGCATCTTACAACATGAGATTGCTTTTAGGATGTAATGTATAAGGGTATTACTTAGGCTTTCATTCATTCCATGGAATTTGAACAAACTCTACAATACACTGCTGAAGTTTTACCTATTAGAAATAAGCTGATGCCATTTAGAAAGCTTTTTTAGATATTCATGATCTAATTTAATTTTATGGAACTCCATAACTAAGGGAACAGTACTGGAATATATTGGAAGTCTGATCTGTGCATCTGATAATTTGGTTCTAGTCCCTGAAACATTTGCCATGGTAATTGTTTTAGTCTTTACGGTGCTACCAAGACTCATGGTTGATCATACCGTTTTCTATCTTTAAAAACCATTTTAAAATCAGTACTGGATACATATTTTGTAAATGAAGGTGTTTAAGAGGTAGCCCTTTTCAAAAAGCTTCCAACATGTAAAATCATCCTAATGGACCGTTCATGTACTTGAGAGCGTTCAGCTTGAGAGCATGCAAATGTTATGCAGGTGAATTTATAAGGAAATGAGCAACTGATCTGCAGGTTGAAATAAGTAATTATTATCATCTAGTCAAAGCTAACATACATAACATGAGTAGACATTTGTCCACTTATGTGTCATATTACCATACCACCAATATTAGTGTCCATGTGGCAGTGGTGGACTCCACTTGTTTTAATGTCTAGGTGTTCTTGTCTTATTTCTTATTACACACACTTGTCATATACTTTTTATGTTCAACATATGCATTCTGCAGATTTATTTATCAGTTCTATCACCTTGGTGATGCTGTATAAGAAGCTTATTTAATTATGTTACCAGTAACCAACATGCATTATGCATGCATCTCTCCAGAGCATCATTCTCCGGAGGCATCTGAGCACATCTGTGCAAAGATGCCATTAAAGGAATGGAAATGACTTCTGTTTAAACCCCCCCATTGTTTCTTGGAATTTCAACTTTAGCAAAAGAAAATAAATAAATGAATAAATAACTTTATATTCCACTCTTACTGCAGGATTTTTTAAAAAATGCCAAAAAACGAACCATTGTTTTATTTTATTAATTTAGAATCCAAATCCATCTTTTTGGAAAACTTTTTTTTAAAAAAAGATACTTGGACCCCATATAGTCATGGTGAATTAAATAATAATAAAAAGAAAAAAGAATGAGGAAGTACAGGAGAAAGAAGGGAGAGTATTTTTTCTCGTATCACAGAAGAGACTTGCATCTGGCACTAAAACAGGGTCACAGTTTTGAGATGTCACAGAAAGCAATTTCATGCTAAAAGATCTTTGCCTTTTTGTATTTTTTAAAAGTCTGAATAGGGAAATAAAAACCCTGCTAACACCTACTTTTACATACCTAAAATTGCAACACCAAAGGGTGCAAGAGACACAGATACTGTGAATAAAGAAGTAGAATATTCAAGTATGAGAGGGCGTATCACAAATGGCCACAGAGAAATATATATCTATAATAATACTGTATCAAACAGATGGAAAGGATGTGAAACCAGTAGTGTAGACACAAACCTAGCTGCTTAACCAACATTCTAATCAGACACAATTCCATTGCTTATTTTCAGTAGCTGCTTTTAGAAAAGAAAAATGCCACTTCCCCAGTACAGTTCATATGATCCCCCCCCCCACTACCTTCTTTAATTATTAGTTAAATAATTTATTGGAATCAGCTATACACCGACATAATTATCCAAGTTCAACAACGTTAATAACTTAATTGACTCTTTCTTCTACCCATTTATATAAAATAACCCAACCCTGCACACCCCCTTTTGAAGCTTTGACATTTTTATTTGCCCTTCTGCCTGGTATTCAGACTCTCCAGTTTAATTTAACCTGTTAGTAAATTACAATGGGAGATGTTCCTTAATTCCATCCATCAACAAAATGGTAAAATGAGCAACTCAAGGTATTTAACAAGGCTCCTCAAAAAGTGGTAGATGGATGGCCTTCAGGCACATGAAAGGTAAAAATGCATTGTATCATAGTACAGTACTCCATGCAAGACAGGGCAGAGCGACAATTATTGTCCAATGTAATATACTGCAATTGTACCCACATAAAAGCCAGTGTCTTCCTGCTGTAAATGGAAATCAGGCCAATTTCTGCATCTATATATAACTTTCCCCCAGCTTTTATTTTATGGTTACTACAGTCTTGGGATGTGACTTAATTTTAGACATGGTAAAGAATGAATGTTAACACCTGCTCAGAGCCCACTCCTGGCAAGAGCTCATGCCTAAATATTATTACTTCAAACACTGCTAAATGAAGCAAATTCATAAGCCCTGTTTAGCTAGGGCTGCAGTGACATCTTCAGCAAGAGTAGCAAGCTGAGGAGATTCAAGCAGGTTGATGCTTCCAGAGGATGAGACGTTGCTGAGCCTCCGTGGGGAAGCCACGCTGGATCTGCCTGGTGACTGCGTGATGATCTCAGCTCCATGGTCTACCCGGGCCTTAGCATGCTCTCGGAAATTTAGCTTCTGGCTGTCAATCTGTACAAAGAAAGCAGGCTCACTAAAGAAAACACAGCAACTGCAGACATGTGAAGCTCCCCAAAGAAAGAGTGTCAATTTAATAAATATTATTTTAATTTACCGTGAAAGGGCTATGGATTTTTTACTTCAGCAGAGCCCCTCAAATTCACTTCAATTTTTCCCCCAAGTCAATTTCCTCCCATAATACATTGCATTAATCTTATCAAAATAATATTAACTTCCATGGAGGACATGTGGCTTGCCATGTGAAAAGGATCTAGGAGTCTTAGAAGACCACAAGTACAACATGAGTCAGCAGAGTGATGCAGCAGCAAAAAAATACCGGTACTTATCCTACTCTAGGTTGCACCAACAGAAGTCTAGTGTCCAGATCAAGTGAACTCATAGGACTGCTCTATTCTGCCCTGGTTGGACCACACCTGGAGTACTGTGTCAAGTTCTGGGCACCACAATTTAAGGAGGATATTGACAATCTGGAACATGTGCAAATGATAAAGTGTCTGGAAATCAAGCCTTAGGTGGAATGGTTGAGGGAGTTGAATATGTTTAGCTTGGATAAGAGGATGCTGAGAGAAGATATGGTAGCCACCTTCAAATATCTAAAGGGCTGTTACATGGAAGATGGAGCAAGCCTGTTTTCTCCTGCTCTGGAGGGTAGGACCCAAATCAATGAATTCAAGTTATAAGAAAGGAGATTCTGACTAAACATCATAAGACCTTCTCAACAGTGGAACAGTCTCCCAGGAGAGGTGTTAGGAAGGCTATCTGTCCTGTATGCTTTAGCTGAGATTCCTGCATTGCAGGGGGTTGGATTAAATGACCCTCGGGGTCCCTTCCAACTCTACAATTCCATGACTCTAATTTCATAGACGTTTGCCTGAGCAGCTCCTCTTCAGCTGGACTTCATTGGGAATTTGTAAATGGGCAAACCCCTGTAAGAAATTTCACTGATCTTATTAAAATAATGTTAGCTCCCTTCATATTTAATGCCATTCTGAGTACACTTTACTTTTACCTTTTTTCCTAGGCAACTTTACTCCTCTACTTAAAGAGAAAGAAGTTTGTAAAGATACAAAATAAATAAGGATAAAATGTTTTCTTTGGAAAGAACTGAAGGCTGTGCACACACAATTCCTTTAAACCCCCCCCCCCCCAAATCCTTGTTGCCAAACATTAACTATAGGAATTACAGCTTTCTGTTTCTCGCCTCTCTTTATTTCCCAGCTGGCAAAATCCAAGACATAACTAGGTACGTTAAGGTACAACAGTTTGCAGCTTCATCTATAATACTGGATATATCCATAATCATTGTTGTTGTTATAATTATTATTAATTAAATTTGTATACCTCTCTTCATCTGAAGATCACAGGGTTGTTCACAACATAAAATTAGAGAATTGTTTGGTTGGGTTGAACCCCAAGTCATATATATACATTTATGAATATACCCCAGTATAATTGTATGCACTAAGTTTTATATAATACATTTCATATTAAAGCAGCAAAGCAATTTGACCTTTGATAAAGTAAGTAGAATGGCATATATTCAAATTTCCCATGAATGCCTGGTTTTTCCACACACAAACGTTTGTGTTTTTTTTGCGGGGGGACCCTCAACAGTTTTATTCCATGGATTCAAGATTCATGGGGATTGTACACCTCTACTCCTGCAACTCTACTCAGCTATGATGTGGCTGAGGATGTGAAGTGAGTGGTGGAGCTGATACCTGCTGTCCCACCTCAGGCTATCATACTCTAGTGTATATATGACATGGCTGACCACAACACCGGATGAATCCCCAGTCCTCACAGGTATTTCTGCCTTCCCTAAGAGAAGCCCCACCTCAGCCCCTGGGCCTGCTTGCTGTCGTTAGAGCTAACCTTCCCAGTTTGAGAAATTCCTGGGCTCAAAAGACAAATTGTGCAGTGCCTATGTAATAAAGAATAAACAGGCTGGTGATAAAGGATCACAACTAACTTGTCCTGCTGATTTCAGTGGAACCACTTAGTCTGGATATCCAGGGTATTCACAAGCAACTGGACGATGCACAGAATGAATGTTTCAGTAAGTAGAAGTGGCAGCGCCTTACCTTGATATTGCCTCCTCCAGGTACATGGTGAGCGTTGTCAAGCGAGCCAACCTTGGCATGGGCCTTTTCTTTAAAATCCAGTTTCACGCTCTCAATTTTCACTCGCCCTCCACCTAGATGTTATGGGAGGAAAATTAAGTCGGAAAATACAGCAAGACTCTCCAGCTGTGACTGAAGCACTTTTCAACACACATACTTTCCTCCTTAACAATGATCATGGGGTTAGGATGACACGCTGAGCCAAACTTTGCTGTGGCTGCTATGCTGTGCTCAGTGGAAAGGCTTGGAGAGAAGCACAGCAATCTCCCCTCCAGGAGCCAGCTCATCTGTGCAGTCCTGGTAAACATAGTTTGGCTTTCCATGATGTGCAGATCAGGCCATTCATTGTGTGGGCAGCTGGCACTGTGTACTTCAGAATGAGAAATCATTTGTAAATGGCTTTCAATTAGAGAGAGATAGTCATGTATGCAAGTGCCTCATGTCAAAACTGGAATAAGCTAATGCTCCTCTGTGAACTTTTAGTGTCAGGGGTTTGGAAAAGAAACCAAAACTTTACATGGAAGCAGACCACAACAGAAACCAAGGTTAATCATTGCATAATGGATGGAGAGTGTTAAGAGAGTGCCTATATAAAACACTTCAACAGAAGAATCCTTCTGGGTTTGGGGAAGAAGACCTGAGGGTGCATGAACTGTGACTAGGGAAGAAACTGGCATGAGTTTTTTGCCTTCCCTTAATCTCCCTGCTCCATTTTCCTTTCCACTGCTTACCCAGGATCAGGAATGGGAGTAGCTCCAAAACCATATTAACACAATAATATGCATATTAAATGGATGGCCTCTATAACCTAGTAAGTGGTACATGAGATTAGCAAAAGAAAATACCATGGGAAATATGCAAACCCACAGCAGAGGTGCTATAGGGAGGGACAGCCATCTTCTTCGTTTCACATTTATCTGGCAGCGGCAGTGGAGGTGTGTTTCTGGAGGCTTCCTTCACTCTCGAATGTGGCAATGACAACACCCCAGATGACAGGGACCCCAGGAAATGTAATTTTCCTACAGGGCCCGAGTACTTATTATGGACATCAGGTACCCTGGAAAATCCGTGTTTTGCAAAATTCTCCCCCCCCCCCGAATATTTCCATCTTACCTGGCCTGTGACGGATATTCTTTAGTGAGCCACATTTTGAAGTCACATGACTTAAGTCTATCTTCTTGGTTACGATCTGCACCTGTTAAAAATATACAAAAATATATCTTGGGAATGAGAAAATAAAACCTGGAAATGAATGTGCCTTGACTTTGAAAGATACTGTAAGAAAATAGATGATTAGTAGTATACAATCATGCCACAAAGGAGGGAAACACCCAGATTAATACAGCAAGCTTCCCATTTGAACCTAGCAGAACCATGTTAAAGGTTTTTCATTAGTAAAGTGAAGACTGTAAATCAAGAAGGTGAGTGAAGTTCTTTCCTAAGTTTTTTCATGTGAAAGAAAGTTTGTTTCAGTGCTGTGTGCTGAGAACTGTATGACATATTTCTATTTCCTTTTTGCACAGAGTTCCAGGATTGCCTTCTGTGGCTTAACTGGATTTCTGATTGGAATATTTTTCAGTGCTCCTGTAGCTACATAAGGACACTTCCACCTTTCTAAGGCCCGATTTGGTCTCGCTAACCTTTTTTTAAAAAGGTTATGCTAGCCTCTAAGAGAAAAACTACAGATGTGTCTGAAGCATAAACTGGCATGTTTCCTTACAATGTTCCTGGCATTTGGGGGGTGCTACTACAGATATTGCCTTAGATATGTGATAGACTTAGGGTTCATTCACCCTTTTGGACCCACCATGAAATGAGATGGTGCAAATGGGTCAAGCATATCCGGAAATTATATGGCTCACGAGTTGGCTCTGATTCTACAAGGCCTTCAGTGGGAAATGAAGTCACACAATGGTGGGTCTACAACAGCTACATTCCCCTATTCTTGCTAAGCCACCTGGCTGCCACCTGGTCAGGAAACACTACCATGTGTTAAGGACCTATTGCTAGCCTTACCTCCAGATTGCTAAGCAAGCGCAACTCTTATGTTTGTATCCTTAATATTTTCTCACATTTTCAGCCCTGTAAGGACTGGGATTTCTTTTTTTTATAAGGCCTTGAATAGTTGTGGATTTCAGTTGGCTGAGTCAGTGTCTTGTGGAGCAGAGTGCTTTGACTGAGACTGGGAAATTTGCTGTGGTCTGTGAGGAAGGATGGAGATACCCACCACTCAACACACAATGCTGAACACATCACTAGACCAAGGTGTCTGTGAAACATTAGCAAGAAGGGAAAGAGTGCTTGGTAGGAAGACACAAAGGACTAGGCTGTGCAGAGGAGGGTCACCAAAGTGGCCCAGGGTACCTTGCCAGGCGCCATCTTTACTTACATTTCCTCCCCCTGCTGAATGTGTGATGTTATCCTTGGAACCACATCTGGATTGAATATCGCTAAAATCAATCTTCTTGCTTAAAATCCTAACCTAAAAGGAATCGGAGGTTAACTTACTATAAAAAGTGTTAACGTTGGTATGCAAAGCTCCCAACAAAGTCCTGTCTGCTGCAGTGGAGGGGGCCGTTTGCTTTACAAGTTATGCTCTAATCATGAGTCAAAGTTGTTTAAGAATGCCTTGACCTTTCTATCCTGTTTCTCTCCAGCTGCCTGCATGGCAAAACAAAACCATAAGATTCTGAGAGGCAGGTGACTTTTCTATAGCAGCAGCTAGTTAAGTGCCCATCCGTGTGAAGATAGAGGGCCTATATCCTCTAAGCTACTGTAATGGGGCAAGGGAATAGTAGGCTCCTGAAAAGTGCAAGCAGTGCACTGAATGCTGGCTCAATATATTAAATATCAGCTTGGATTTCCATTATGAGGTTTTCAGTGGCACATACAACAAAATGCAAAGGTTGCAGCTCATGAGAGAAGTACAGTGGTACCTCGGGTTACATACGCTTCAGGTTACGTATGCTTCAGGTTACAGACTCCGCTAACCCAGAAATAGTACCTCGGGTTAAGAACTTTGCTTCAGGATGAGAACAGAAATCGCACGGCAGTGGCGCGGCGGCAGCAGCGGGAGGCCCCATTAGCTAAAGTGGTACCTCAGGTTAAGAACACAAATTAAGTACGTAACCAGAGGTACCACTGTAGTCAGTATGAATACTTTCTTGGTAGCGGACTTCCGGTCTACTGCGGAGGACAATGGCAATGTGCTAAGTGTCGTCCACAACATGGAGTGGACAGAAAGGCGTGGAGGGTGGCGCTAGAGCTCAGCGCGCACACCCCCCCACAGAAGAGTGGGGACCCGAGGGCTCCAGCAGAGTGGAAAAACTCACCCCCTGAACATCTCCCAGCTGCCGCTGTGCGCGTGGGAGGGAAGGGGCTTGAGTTCGCTCTCAACTCCAACACAGCCTGCTGCCGAAGCTATGATTTGTCACCAGAAGCAGCAGATCTTCCAATTAGAGGTAAATGTGAAATAAAACATTTAAAATTAAAAATTAGAGGCTAAAAAGTTTATTTGGCGAAATGAAAGCAAAACAGGAAGTCAGCTTCCGATTTCTACGGATGAGCTCTGCAAAGGGAATTTTTTTGTGAATGGGACACAGAAACTGCCTACAGCAACGGAGAGTTGAAACATTTATCTCTAATGAATATATATATTAACTATCAAGTAACCTATTGGATTATAAAGTTAAAAGCCCACTGACAGCTGGAGGAATTTGAACAGTATTTTAAAAATTGGTGGAGCAGAAGAGGAAAAGGGGAAAGAAAGGGAGCTAGCAGGGGACTCTCAGCACTTCTGTGGGGTAACCACAGAAAGTGGAAAGAGCCTGGAACAGCTTCCAAAGTAACTTCAATACTCCAAGAGATTGAAAGAGCTTGCCAAGAAAGATCTGTCGATTGAAACTCCAGCACGTTTGTGAATTAAACAACAAGACAAAATGCCATGGGATTACATATAAGAAATAAAATGGAGATATAAATTCTGGAATTATTGCAAGTCACCACTGTTTAAGACAATTACAAGTAGATAAGTACAAATTAAAGAATAACCTTGTTTTTAAAGACATAAATCTGAAACTGAACTGGCCTAACATCTTTTTGCTTTATGGACTTTTAAATTACTTTCTTATTTTTTCTTCTTATTTTTTTGCCCTTTTAATTGTACATTTTATATCTCCTGATTTATTGGATGTTTTCATTTGTCTCTGCTTTTTTTGTTATATGACTGTATGATTTGCTGTTGTGGGGAGGGAGAAGGCAGACAAAAGGGAAAGGGAAACTGGAAAGAGTCTGGGAGGGGGGAAACAACCTCATGGCTGGATAGAGCTGGAACTTGCAGGTGTGACCTTGAACAACTCAAAAAACACTGGGAACCAACTGATAAGACATGTTGGGTAAGGAGGGAACAACAACCAGGAAAGTGGCAGCTGCAGCTGCGGCGGCCGCTAGAAGGGCTAGTGTGCGAGGAGAAACGGGAGATAAAGGGGAGAGAGAGCAAACAGATCTTCTTGCACAGCAACTTTTGGAATTCAGGAAAGAAATGGTTCAATCAATGCAAGAATTTACAAAACAGGTTCACAGTGACATGGAAAAATCCAATCAAACATTGATTGAACAAGTGCACAGGGATATTGAAAATTTGAAGAGTTTTGAAAGAGCAATTTGGGATACTGGGAGACAAGGTCAACAAATTGGAAACCAAAGTAGACAAACTAGAAAAAGTTAAAAGAGGAGGTAGGAGAATTAAGAGAGAAACAAAAAGGGTTGATGGGAACTGTGGAAGGGGTTCAAGGGAAGCAGAATGAATTGGAGGACCAGATCCTCCTCTTGCAGCTAAGGGAAAGAGACAGGACATTACGAATTAGAGGCCTTCCAGAATCTGACACAGAGCCAAATTTGGAGACATTTGTTACACAGACAATCTCAGAATGGATGGGAGAAAGTAAAGACTGGTTGGATGGACTTTCAGAGAGCTGTTTCAGAATTAGATCGTGCGAAAGTCGAGAACAGATGCAGCCAGGAGATGTTTTATTAACATTAGTAACAAAAAGAGTGAAGGATGCAATCCTTCAGAACAGCTTTGAAAAAAATCTCGTGGTTGCCGGACAGATAGTAGACATTTTTAGGGAGATCCCACTGAAATTGAGATTTAGAAGAATCAAATATAGGTTTTTAACAACAGCACTCAGGAGAGCTATCAGATACAAATGGGAATTTCCAGAGGGCATTTCTTTCACATACCTGAAAAGGAGATATAGGCTAACATCAGAGTTTCAGGTGAGAGAGTTCTTTGACAAATACAGGAGAGACTTAGATTCCAAACAAGACAGGGGAGACCCTTGAGCTGAACAAAAAGAGGCCTTGGAGCAGTTAACATTGGAAAGCACTACACCAGAAAAAACAGATATTGCAACTGACTCTGACAATGGCCAATCTTAAAATACTGAGCTGGAATGTGAATGGATTGAACTGTAAAGCCAAATGCAATCAGATTGAGCATGTAATAGCAAAATAGAAATTAGACATAATTTGCCTCCAAGAGACACATATTGCAAAAAAGGGGGTCTTAATTAACAAAAAAAATTAGGTATGGATTTCATTTCATCAGACTTTCATTTTCATCAGACCAAAGACTTTTTTTGATATGACTCAAAATCTAAATTTGATAGATATATGGAGAATGAGACATATGTTTGATACAGAGTTCACTTATTACAGCCATGTACACAATAGCAACTCGAGAATAGACTCTTTGTGGATTTCCAAAGAATTGGAAATAAGAGTAAAAAAAATGAAATTAACCCCAGAACTTTTTCAGACCATAATTCCTTGATTATGGAATTACAAAAAGAAAGCCAAATCTCTTTCAGATGGAGACTATATGATGATTTACTAGATGATCAAAAATTTGTAGAAAAAATAAAAAAGGCCTTGATTGATTATTTTGAAATAAATAATCAAGGACAGACAAAATTACAGACAGTCTGCGATGCAAGTAAGGCGGTGGTGAGAGGACTCTATACAACAAAACTCATATAAAAGGAAACTGAAAGAGAAATAGAAACAGGAAATTCTAGAGGAAATTACTGAAAAGGAGAAACAGCTGCCAAATAAAGCAAATAAAGAAGCAGTGAAACAGGCAATTAAAACCTTACAAACTCAGTACTCAACGATAATTAATGAGGAAATTAGTTGGAAAATAAAGAGAGTAAAAAAAAATATTTGAGCATGTAAACAAACCGGGAAAATTGTTAGCCTGGCAGTTAAAAAAAAAAAAGAACAAAGGAACTTCATAAATAAAATTAATCTAAATGGAAAGATCACAGATAAGCTGAAGGAAATTGGAGTAGGATTTGTTAAATATTCTTCAGATTTGTATAGACAAGGGAAAGAATAGAATAGAAGAGTATATCAGAAGTAGTAACATGCCACATATAAAGGATGAACAAAGGAAGATTTTTAATACCCAAGAACTGCTAGAGGCAATAAAAGGCTCTAAAAATGGCAAGTCACCAGGCCCGGATGGACTTACGGCAAAATATATAAAAAATTAAGTGAACAACTAGTGAACCCACTGAAAGATGTCATGAATGAGATACTGAACACAGGTGAAATTCCAGAAACATGGAAAGAGGCCTATATTACAGTAATTCCAAAACAAGACGCAGACTTGCTGCAAATCAAAAATTACAGACCTATCTCTTTGTTAAACAACGATTACAAACTGCTTGCAAACTTATTAGCTGACAGATTGAAAAATATACTAAATGAGTATATACATCAAGACCAGGCAGGATTTCTTCCAGGTAGACAAATGAAGGGGAATATAAGGAATATTTTGAATATCATAGAATACCTGGAGGCTAAAAATGAAAAGAAAGCAGCAATGATGTTTATAGATGCTGAAAAAGCTTTTGACAGCGTCTCTTGGAAATTCATGACAAAGATATTAGACAAAATCAAAAGTGGGCCTAAATTCCTAAAAGGAATATCAGCAATCTATTCAGAACAAAAAGCAAAATTAATTATAAACCAGGTAATAACGGATGATTGTAAGATTCAAAAGGGAACCAGACAAGGATGTCCATTATCACCATGGTTGTTCATCCTGGTACTGGAAGTACTTGCCAGAAATATAAGAGGAGATAAAGGGATCACAGGCATTAAACCTGGGAAAAGTGAGTTTAAATTAAAAGTATATGTAGATGATTTAGTGATAACAGTGGAAGACCCAAAAACTTCACTCCCTAAAGTAATAGAAAAGATTCAGAAATTTGGGGAAGTAGCAGGATTTAAATTAAATAGGAATAAAACTAAATTATTAGTTAAACATTTGAAGGAAGAAGAAAAAAATAATGAGTTCGAGCAAAACATTGAGATTGAAGTCCATAAAAAGTTTAAGTATTTAGGGATATGGTTAACATCAAGAAATCTAAATTTATTTAAAAGTAATTATGAAAAAGGGACGCGGGTGGCGCTGTG